GTGTTTCACCAGCATGTATAATGTTCCACAAACATATTTGTATGGTAGACGTATATACTCAGACGGAATGAGTATTTGTATTCTGTCCTTTAAAAAAGGGCAGGCTCAGAGGTGTCCATCTACTCTTGCGAGCAGCATTCTTTCTCTCCGGAGGTACCCTGACTATGGGACTTGGATTGACTCACTCGAGTCAATCTGAGGTCGGTAGTCGGGAAAACCTACGAGGGAAAGCTTGTAATTGCTTGTAGCTCGTGGGCGGCATTCGGACACCTTTGGTATTAGAGTTAATTTTTATGATAGTTAGTATTTAATAAAATTTTATTTCACCTATTAGTCTATTAATTATTGTTTTCAACAGTTATACCGTCATTTGTAGACAAATAACTAAATGAATATAACTTAAATTTATTTATTATTTGAATACAGTATATAATATATCCGTTTACTGTGAAGAAGTTTGGAGATTAATATTTTTGTCTTCATTGATAGTTTTAATAGAAATAAGAATATTCATGAAGCACCATTGAGAATATGCAATTCTAGGTTAACAGTTTGTACTGAATTATATCAGAAATACGTACTACCATGTTGCTCTAAGAGAAATAAAAATTAAATAGTGTATTTTGGTACATTTGGATTAAGCTTGACCGCAAAGTTCTGGATAAATATGATATTACAGACCATGTACAAGAAGGCATTTCGCGACGGGTAGATTTCTGTGTCAAAGTGACATGTCTGTTACACTTAATGTGATTTCTTACGTTGCCTTTGACGATGGGATCGCCCGAGGGTTATTTAATACGTAGAGTCATTTATCTAATTGCAGAGTCTTGCCTAGAGTCTTAATAACTAAATTCTACAATATTAATAAATAGTCAATACTTAATTTTCAATTTTTATTAATATAAAGTCGAGTCATTTTTATTGCAAAATGAAATGAAAAAGAATCAAAGAGAAGTAGCCCGTTAGAAGAGCAAAAAGTAATAATTATTTTAGTTAGGATTTTCAGGATAATTATTCCGTGTTCGTTGCTCGAACCCTTTCACGTGCCCAGGTGCTACTTGGTTGGGCGAGAGCAACGGGGAACGATGACTTGATTTCATATAATAATA